TCTAAGGTTTCGGATTTAGGGTTTAGGGGTCCAATGTTGAGGGACAAACTCCAACCTAAGGCGCAAAACAGCATCCAATAACCAAATACTTCATACAGTAATGTAGCAGCCTAAGTAATTACCTTTACTATTTTGGGGGTTCCTTAATAATAATAACAATAGTAATTACATAGATAAATAGATAAATAAATAAATATATATATATATACTTATATAGTAGAATGTGCACCCACAACCCCACTCCAATTATTAACGCCCCTATATTATAGTGGCTGGCCAATCTTTGGGGTTCCGCCAGTGGTCATACAGTAGAATGAACCCCAACTCCTTTTTCAAAGTAGTAGGCCCAAAGGGTCCTAACACGTTTTGGAACCTCAAGATGTAGGATTTCTGAGACCCCCAAAGAGACTCGAGGGCTCTGCCTAGGAGATTCCGGAACCTTCTGAAGCGAGGTGGCCCATAAGTAAGTAGGTAATAAGTAGAGATCTATGTACCCTAAAAGGGATCCTAATTTGGGTTCTGATACTTATAACACACTCTATAATATGTACCCTAAAAGGGATCCTAATGTGGGTTATGATACTTAGAACTCTATAAAACAACTACTTACTATGTCCCCGGACCCTCCAAGTATGAAGCCGCAAGCCCTAAAGGTTTAGGATGTGGGGTGTTCCGTTTCGAGGTAATGCTGAAGTCCAAGAGCCGGTTTGAATGTTACAGAATTCAATCCCTCAAAGGACCCGGTTTAGGGTTTAGGGTTCAGGGTTAAGGGTTTAGGGTAAGGTGCTTGGGTTTAGGGTGGCAGTTATGTAGCTTAATATTCGGTCAAGTATATGAACCCTAAACCCCTAGAACCGTAAACATTATAGGGCACCCCTAAACACCAAACCCTAAACCCTAAACCCTAAACCCCTAAACCCTAAACCCTAAACCCTAAACCCCTAAACCCTAAACCAGGTATCTGGCAGATCCACAACCCTCGCCGGAGGAGGACAAGACTGAAGTTGTTAGGCCGGTTTAGGGTTTAGGGTTTAAGGTTTAAGGTTTAGGGTTTAGGGTTTAGGGCCGATATGGGGCTCATGACGGTTTCTTGAAGAAAGGTCTGAAGCATTAGTAATATTGTACCGTCATCGTCCCTGCATGGCATTCTGATGAACATTTACCCCTGTATCACGTGAAGACTTTTTGTGGTTGACAGCTTGCAGGACTTTGGTCCATGAGCTCGGCAGCCAAGGATTTAGGCCGTACGTCCGAATTCCGAAACTGCATTTTTCAGGACTTATGCCCCACGCCCTCTTCCTAAACCCTAAACCCTAAACCCTATTCCGAAACCCTATTCCGCAGGACATTGAGATGGAACTTTGCGACGGGCACCGGCTTCAATATGATCGGGGGACGCCCGGTTGAAGGTTTTGGGATGTGAGCGTCAGGGTTTAGGGCCCAGGGTCTGGGGCGCAGGGTCCAGGGTTTGGGCATGCGGGTTTAGAACAAACCCTAAACCCTAAACCCTGTAGGGTTTGGAGTTTGGAGACCAAAAAAACCCTAAACCCCAAACCCTAAACCCTAAACCCTAAACCCTAAACCCCCAAAAGCAGTAACGGACGAAACCGAGCCACGGCTTGAGGGTTCTACTTGGAGGTTCAGGGTACTTATAACCTAATTATAACTGTACTAGGGTTTAGGGTTTAGGGTTTAGGGTGTTATAAGATCCCTAGTTACAGCAACCTAGGTTATAGTTGGGTTAAAGTACAGTTATAATTAGGTTATAAGTACCCTGAACCTCCAAGTAGTCTCCATTCATTGAGCTACAGAAACCACACAACCCCAAAGCGTCCGTTAAGGATTAGGGTTTCAGGGTTTAGGGTTTGGGATTTAGGGTTTAGGGTTTAGGATTTAGGGTTTAGGGTTTAGGGTTCAGGGTTTAGTTCTTCAGGCTTGTGTTATACACTTCTCCTGGATCCTACCTATAGTCCTCATTGTAGTGTTTTTGTTTTAACCAAATATGTATTTAGGGCCTATAATTAAGATACCCCTCCAACTAAAACTACAATGGAGAGTACTTGGACGTTCATGGGTAATTAGTTACAAGCGGGATTGTAAGTAGGGTAACTGTAGCTATAGCCCGTATGATGGGACTGATAATCCCAGTTATAACTGCCCATGAGCCTCCAAGTATAGGTAGTTTGCTGTAAACCCTAAACCCTAAACCCTAAACCCTAAACCCTAGCTTGCTGTCGAAGCTCAGTGCTGGGTTCTAGGTTTGGGTCCTTCCAGGCTCCTTTTTGTTCATAGCGAAGGCGTCTTTGGTGGGACGTAATATAGAAGCCTAAGCTAAAGAGTTACCTGCATTGTTCTTAGGGTTCAACCCTAAACCCTCGACCCTAAACCCTAAACCCACCCATAGGTTTAGGGTTGAAGGTTTAGGTTTGGTTCCAAAGCCCTTCAAGGGATCTCCTAGAGTAGATCCCAAAAAGGTTGGAAACCAGCTTAAGGACAATTAGGGTTTAGGGTTTAGGGTTTAGTGCTGGGATTCCTTATACATTAATCTTAACCCTAAGGGTCCAAAGGACCCAATAATTAGGTACTTAGGTTTCGGATAGTAGTTACGTAGGTTGCTATGTGGGAGAATATATGATTATTAGGTACTTGGACCCTTGGGGTTAAGGATTGAGGCTATTGGCTTTCCCAACTTTGGGGCTTCTACTTGTGCAAGACACCCGTCGATGCTGTCTCCTTGCATTGCCCAGGTTACTGGCCCAAGCTCCGAGGAAATCTTATCGAGGAGTGATGTTCTGCCAGACGTGACTGTGCTCCATCCATCAGCTTCAGCGACACAGATTTTGCAACAACCATCTTTGCCCCACAGATTGACCAGATAATGAATTAATTCGCCCGGAGCGTAAGCCCTAATCAATACGTAAACTTCGCTAAACACGCGTGTGGAAGCTGAAACCAAGATGATCTTAAGTTTCTTTTCTGCCTTTATGGATTCAGGTTTAGGGTCTAGGGGTTTAGGGTTGAGGTGTTTGGGGCTTTGGGTTTAGGAGTCTCCAAGCATAAAAGCTACGGGCACATGCAAGGCATTGGGGTTTCCTGCACGGGTCCCTATATGGGTTGCTGTAAGGCTACAAGGGTTACTACAAGCGTTGAATATTGAGCTTGAAGGATTACCAACATTATTCACTAGGGTTCTTGATTATATAGTATACTTTGCCCCGGAAACCCTAAACAATAAACCCTAAACCCTAAACCCTAAACCCTAAACCCTAAACCCTATTCTCGTTATGAAGGTCCCTATATTTCAGGAACCCCTCGGAGGCAGCATATACTGCATGGTCCACTGCCGTTACTAAACCCTAAGCTCTAAATCAAGTCAGCGCAACTCAAACTTTAAGTACGAAAACAGAATTAAACAACAGAGCGGCAAGCAAGGTCAGATGGCGGCGATGGATTTTCGCCTGCGATTGCAGGTCGCGTGCTGGTGCGTGCAGTACTGCATCATCACGGACATGCCTGCGGGATTGGCGCAGGATGGGTTAGAGTGTCCAGGGTGACCCAAGGATCCAAATTGTGACAGAAACCGTCCAGAATGAGGTATTTTGGTTAAAGATAGCAGCAGTTGAAGTCTCATAGTTAGAAATATAATTATTAGGTATTCGAGCGTTAGGGTTAGAGGGTTAAACATGTGGAGGATTCGGGTTCGCTGGTCGCCTCTTTAGCGGATTGTGATATTATCAAATAGTTTTCAACTACCCTGAGGGTCCTAATACTTTCGGGCACCTCAAAAAGTACCATTTCTGAGACCCCAAAGGGACCCAAGGGCTCTCCCTAGGAGATTCCGGACCCTCCTAAAGAGATACCTGGACCCTTAGGGTAATCAATATACTATGTGTACGATGTGCGTATTTTATTGTTAATGTATATACGTATATACATGTATTCAGACATGCCCTGGGAACCCTACACCCTAGACTCTAAGCCGTGCCCTAAACCCTAAACCCTAAACCCCAAACCCCTAAACCGTGTAAGACTATAACGGCTAGGGGTTTGGGACCCTGCAGGAACCTCCGACTTGGATCTCACACGGGATCCAGAATATGACAAACACTTCGTTGGCCTCTACCACGGAGGTGTTTCCCGGAATCTTGGTCAGGGCTTGGGGTACAGTTTAGGCATGATGTTTTGCTTGTTGTGGTTTGGGGTTCCTAAAACTTGGCATCCTCAGCCTTAGAAGGGGTTTAGGGTTTAGGGTTTAAGGTTTAGGGTTTAGGGTTTAGGGTTTAAGGTTTAGGGTTTAGGGTTTAGGGTTTAGGGTTTAGGGTTCACCCATAGAACATCATAGAACAGTTTTTTCCTTTATTTTTCCAAGCCCGAACCCAGGAATGTCGCTGCCTTCGGACAGAGGACTCACCAGGAACGCAATGGCTGGTATGGCGAAAATCGGCTGGCGGTCCTCTTCGATATGGAGAAGGGTATCATGCAGTGCCATTTAGCTTTTTTTAGGGTTGAGGGTTTGGGGGTTTTTACATTACCGAGCTGCTCTAGACACGTTGTTGGTCCTTGCAAGTTAGCATAGCTGATGTTTTTTTTGGCCTTGGGCATCTACAAGAAAACCCAAATCCTCGACCCTCAAACCACCAAACCCTATCCCCTAAGCTCCGTGAGTTGCGCCTAGACCCCAAAGCCCCGCCAATAACCATAAAATCCCTGAATGCCGAATTCAAACCTAAATCCCCCATGCCTCACTTTAAACCTACAAGGCTACGAGGGGCTGCAGCCCTTTGGCCAGGAGGTGCCTGGGTTCTGGAATGCCATACTTTAACATTTTTTGGGGTGGCTTTTAGGGTTTAAGGTATAGGATTTTTTGGGGACCTGTTTTTTGAAGGAACATTTATGAACATGATTATGAGATGACAGTTTAACCGCTTTCCTCCCGGGTTGCTTCAAAGTCCCGTTAAAGGGTTCCTTTAAAGGAACTGGTTTAGGGTCTAGGGGTTAGGGTTTAGGGTTTAGGGTTTAGGGTTTAGGGTTTAGGGCTCCCTCTGGTTACTTCAATGCCTAGGTGAAGATCGGATCGGATGGCGAGTTTTGGCCTGCCGTGGTCTTGTGCAAGATCGAGGACTCCTCTTGTCCAAAGGGCTCCCTTACAGGGTCTTTGGGGTTTAGGGTTTAGGGATATAGGGTTTAGGGTTTAGGGTTTACGGTTTGGGTCTAGGGTTTGGGTACTGTTATGGGGGATACTTTCCCAAATCATAATAACAATTCCTAAAATAGAAACCCCCCCCTACATTCTACCATATAGGTACTTTGGACCCTTTGGGTTGTCAAAGGGCTCCCTTACAGGGTCTAGGGTTTTGGGCTTTAGGCTTTGGGGTTTAGGGATTTACGGTTTAGGGTTTTAGGCTTTGGGGTTTAGGGATTTACGGTTTAGGGTTTGGCCTTTAGGCTTTGGGGTTTAGGGATTTAGGGTTTAGGGTTTAGGGTTTGGGCTTTAGGCTTTGGGGTTTAGGTTTCGGGTTTGGGCGCTAGGGTTCCCTTACCAGGCCAGGCTAGAAGGGTTCCTTCTAAGGACCCATTTTCGGGGTCTGAAGGGGCTCCAAATTTGTTGTGTCCTCGTGTCTGCCTTGATTCTCCCTTTTTTAACATCAAGTTTCGAAGGTACCATAGGGCTTGGGGTGGTTTAGGGTTAGGGGTTTGTCAGCCTTGATTCCGCTTTCTGGAAGGTCACAAAAGGCAAATTCAGGGCTGTGTAGATCTTCATAGGTTTCAGGGCTTATTGTCGCTGCCTTAGATCATGTGTTCCTAAGCCCCGGAACGGTTCTGATAGAGTTTTCCTTATAGCGTTTACGTACGTCTGTCCATGAGGCGCCAGAAGGGAACTATCCTTTAAGAAGACTCAGGACTCTGCGTCTGTTGCCGTGAGCTACATGTGAAGCTGGAAGCGAGACTGTACGGCTCATCGAATAAAGGGCTCCACGTAGGCATTATATCGGGGCTTCACATATATATATATATATACATATACATATACATATACATATACATACATATATACATATATACATATATACATATATACATATATACATAGACTTCAGTGTCCGTACCCCAGAGTGTTCTTGGTTGAAGCAAGTATACTTGAGGACTTGGACCCTCGACTCAGGACTCTAGACTCCAGACTTCACCTGTGTAGTCATACCCTACGTACCCTTCTTAGGGTACCTACCTTTCAATATGCTAACCAGAAAACCAGGTACCCTACAAACGGGGTAGGGTATGACCTTCGGCCCTTAACTCTGCAGGGATGCACAGCAGCTTCGCCAAAGGGTCCACAGGATTCAGCAATTAGGTAGTTTCATTTCGTATCGTAGCTCTGTAGGTTACTAGTTGTTCTCTAAATTAGGACCCGTTTGGGGTCCTGGTGCCGTAGTATATTGGGGACCCCAATGGGACCCTGATTGAGAGAACTACCCACAGGATGATAAGGCACTTGGACAATTAGGGTTCCTCTGTCGTCGAACCCGAATCGAACCCTGAACCCTAGGGTTTAGGGTTTAGGGTCTAGGGTGTATTCTAGGATTTCAGGTGGGTAGTTGCCGTGTATAGGAGTCTTATAGAAGGTCTATGTTCCTTATAGAAGCCTTATATAGAAGCCCTATATACCCTAAACTCCCCGCCTGTAGTTTCCTTTAATTTATTCCGGCACTGGTTGAGGATTTCACCTCGTATGTTGAAAATGCTTGGGACTCTTATAGCGCGCGGCTTATAGACCCATAAACCCGGAACGCCAAAGCCTAGAAAAAAACTCCTGAAACCCTACTTGGGGATCCAAAAACCTACCGTCTTAAGGGTTCTACCTTCTAATTAAGGGGTCATAACCTACTATTTTGTAGGGTTTAGGGTCACAGGTAAACCCTAGTTACGGCCCTAAACGTGGCCCTAAACCCTAAACCCCTAATACCCTCAACCCTAAACCCTGGAAGTTGAACTGTTGAACCCGAATCCTCTCTGTCTTCAGACCCTCTGACACAGACACCAGACGAATACAGGGGCCCAAATAATTACCAATACTATTTTTGGGGCTTCCTCATTATAATTGTAGTATGATAGACCCCCAAACCCAACTGAAATTATTAAGGCCTCTATAGTACACCGAAAGGGAACTCTTTCAAGAGCCCCTTACGGGTTCCTCAGGCCTTTCAGGGTGCCGTTAAGGGCTCATGAAGGGGTCTAAACCCTAAACCCTAAACCCTAAACCCTAAACCCTAAACCCTAAACCCTAAACCCTAAACCCTAGCATTTTCCTTTAAACCGAGCCGCCCTTAAGGGCCCCTGAAGGGCCCCTAAGGCCTTTCAGGATTCCTCTAAGGTTTCCTTAAGGGGTCTGGGGTTGGGTGTTTCGGTTTAGGGTTTAGGGTTTAGGGTCTAGGGTTTCTTAACCTACCAAAACCTACTTTTGTAGGTTCTTGTTATAAACCCTAGTATGGAATGAATAGGGACGCTACAAAAAAGTAGGTTCTGGTGGGTTAAGGTAGGGTCTACCACAAGGGATCGTATCGGGGGCTGGGTATGGGGGCCTAATACTTAGAATCGGGCCTTGGCTATATGGGTGGTTATCAAAATTATAGTCCCTTTTTGGGTCCTTATTATAATGCGGCACTTATTATTTAGGGTACCCCAAAAAGGGACCATGATTTTGACAACTACCCATATCGAAGGAACTTTCAAAAGGCATAATGTGGCCCCGCGCGGAAGACGTTAGGTTCTTTCGGAGGGTTTAGGGTTTAGGGTTTAGGGTTTAGGGTTTAGGGTTTAGGGTTTAAGGTTTAGGGTTTAGGGTTTAGGGTTTAGGGTCTATGGTCCCAGAAGACCCTGTCCTGTACAGTGCGGGCTGGGCGGAGTTTCGGCAGAGCAGCGACATGGCACGATCGTACCTTCCATCAATGGCCGAAGCCGTGCAGATCCTGCAGAAAAAGTTGAGCGGGTTTAGGGTTTCGGGTTTAGGGTTTGGGGGGGTGAAGGAGTAAGTTTGGCATTGCAAGACCCCACAACCCGAATTGCAAGGGAAGCTCGCCTTGTCGAGGTTGCACAACATGCCAGAATAATTATCGAGGTTAAACCCAAAAGCCAAAACCCTAAACCCTAAACCCGGACAGGCGAAAATCCGGTCCATTGCACCTCACAAAAAAAAACCCTAAACCCTAAACCCTAAACGCCTGAAACCTTTAACCTCTGGGGCGCCGTATCTTTAGGATGACCCAAAGCCTGGCGTGGCCCAAGCCTTATACTACCCAAGAGCCAATGAAGGGGGGGGAGCCGACACAAACCCTACCTGTAGCACCCGAAAGCTTACCTTGTCAAGGTTCCCTTTCAGGGTTTAGGAGTTTAGGATTTAGGGTTTAGGGTTTAGGGTTTAGGGTTTAGGGTTTAGGGTTTAGGGTTTTAGGGTTTACGGTTTAAGATCTATAGGGTTTTGGCTTTACGGTTCCTTGGGATGGTTTCTTGGTTCCTTATTGCGGTTTCTTTATGCAGAATACTAAAGGCAGACTTTTCTGTGCTGCAGGTACAACCTAAAGCCTAAACTCTGAACCCCCAAACCCGCAAGCCGTACAATAGAAGCCAGAAAGTTGGAACATCATTATCCTCATGCCCTTAAGGTAAAGTATACGGAATCCCTAAACCCTAAACCCTAAACCCTAAACCCTAAACCCTAAATCCATGTTCCAACCTCCTCAGGTTCCCTATGAGGGTACTTGTCTAAATTCGGGTCCGTTTAGGGCCCGTTTTACAAGGGTGCCATACTATATGGGTAGTTGTCAAAATTCGGGTGCCTTTTGGGGTACCCTAAATAATAGGTGCCGTATTATAATAAGGACCCAAAAAGGGACCATAATTTTGACAACCACCCATATTGGGGACCTCAAAGGGGACGATACCTTAGAGAACAACCCTAAACCCTGAGCCCGACACCCAGAATCCTAAACCCTAAACCCTAAACCCTAAAACCCAAAAACCCTAAACCCGACATCCTAAACCCTAAACCCTAAATCCTAAACCCTAAACCCTAAACCTTAAACCCTAAACCCTAAACCCCACAAACCCTCTTGGAGGTCAGATCCTTTAGGCAGGAACCCAGAGACTCCCCAACCCCTTAATTTAATTAAGGACTATGCCGTGGGTTTAGGGTTTAGGGTTTAGGGTTTATTTAGGGTTTAGGGTTTAGGGAATCATAATATAATTTAAGGCATATTCCTTAGTTAAGGGGTTTTGGAGTCTCTGGGAAGTCCTGGCTTTTAAGAGCCCCGTCCAACCCACAGCAGGAGTCCTACACCTCAAATCCTGGGGCGCCCAGTTTTAGGGTTTCGGACTTTTGGATTTAGGGTTTAGGGTTTAGGGTTTAGGAGTTTAGGGTTTAGGGTTTAGGCTTTAGGGATTTGGTTTTAGGGTTTAGGATTCAGGGTTTAGGGTTTAGGCTTTAAATAGGCTTTAGGGCTTCGGTGTCAGGGTTTAGGATTCACGGCTTCGGGTACAGGGACAAGTTGGACCCTCATCCAAAAACCTGAAGGCCTGGTTCGAAGCCTGAAGTCGCATATATGGGGGGCCTGAATAATCGCTGGTATTTTTTTTTTTGGGGGGGGGTCCATAGTACTTATACACCAAAACCCCATTCTAATCATTCAGGCCCCTACATTGCTCTGTGGGTACATGGACCCGATTACAAAACACGAAACTAAGTCTTCCGCAGGGCTTTTTTTTTTTTGAGGGGGGGGGGGGGTAGGTACCCTAAAACCTAACCCTAAACCCTAAACCATAAACCCTAAACCCTTTAAACCCAAACCTACTTTTGGGGGGGTTTAGGCACCCTAAACCCTAAACCCTAAACTTGGGGGGTTTACGTACGTCCTAGAGGGTCTTTTGATTCAGGTTCACGGGATTCGGGTCTAAAGCTCCAATTCCATGCCTCGAGTTCTAGTCTAGAGTTGGAGGGTTTATAGGCTTTAGGGCTGAAGGGGTTTAGGGCTGAAGGGGTTTAGGGTTGAGGGGGTTTAGGGTTGAAGGGTTTAGGGTTTAGGGTTAAAGGAGTGTAATAGGGTTTTGGGATTACCTTAGCGTTTAGGGTTTAGGGTTTTGGGATTACCTTGACCCTATAACTATAAAACTTTCCTTGAAGGCTCCGTATTATGATTTTTGTTTGTGTAAGTCCTGAAAAGGTAGGTTCTTTGGGGCCCAGCTAGGTTCTGTAGTTATGAGGCTTTGCTCTGGGCAAGTGCTTTCGGCTCCTGAAACGAACAAGATCACTGAGACTATAGAGTTTGTAAAAGCTCACAAACAACGTAGAAAGCTTAATTCAAGCGTTTTGGTCTATCTGTAGCGAGTTTGCCGTGCCTTTTTTTTGTGGATTTAAGGCTTTAGGCTTTTAGGGTTTACGGCAGTTTCGGCCGGTTTAGTCTTTAATCTTTCAGGCAGTTTCGGCCGGTTTAGTCTTTAGTCTTTCCGGCAGTTTCGGCCGGTTTAGTCTTTAATCTTTCAGGTTTAGAGGGCTCTAGGTCTAACAACAGGTGTCCCCGCACCCAGGGAATATACTTTGGCCTCACAATCGTATCTGTGTATGTTTTTAGGATTTAGGGCTAACGTATATTAAAATATGTTGTAGGGGCACCTTAGTCCCTAAACCCTGAGCCCTTAGTTACCCTGGCTTGGAGTTAAGGACGACTGCTATTCGTGCTCGACGTCGAACCTCTGCACGGTTTGCGACAACGGCAAGTTCCTGAGCCCGAACATGTGGTGTCCGCTCCTCAGAGGGACATGCATTCGGTTGCTTTTGGGTTTAGGAAGTTTAGGGTTTAGAGTACTTAAGTGTTTCTATGAGGGTACACGAAGGGTTTTGGAACGTTTTTGGGTACGTGGGTTGAGGGTTGAAGGTTTGGGCTGT